AAGTAACACGTGCATTTAACTGTGTATCATTACCAACAAGTAACACGTGTATTTAACTGTGTATTATTACCAACAAGTAACACGTGTATTTAACTGTGTATTATTACCAACAAGTAACACGTGTATTTAACTGTGTATTATTATCAACAAGTAACACGTGTATTTAACTGTGTATCATTACCAACAAGTAACACGTGTATTTAACTGTGTATCATTATCAACAAGTAACACGTGTATTTAACTGTGTATTATTACCAACAAGTAACACGTGTATTTAACTGTGTGTCATTTCTAGTTGTTTTCTCATCTACACCCTCTGGTGATAACGTAGAAAGTTGACGTCACACTGTTGCTCACCTTCGGAGGGACTAACGCTCGTCTCCTGTGCAGCGCTGCCGCTGGCGGTCCTTCCTCCATCTCGTCCAACTCGCTCCCTTCATCATCAATGGAGGAGAGTTTCTTGAACCCTATGTTCGTCTCCTGCTCCTTGGAAAATAAAAGAAAAAACATTAAGAAGCTAATAGAATGATATCAAAATATAATATCATGCTATTTAGAATCACAGAGATATAATCAAATGATCCGGACAAAGAGACACTTGAAAACTTGGTTCTTAATAACTGTTACCAGTCACGTGAAGGTTCTTTCTAAATCTGGACCTTGGAAAACAAATCGAAACAAAGACGTAATTTTCAGTCCCAGAGCTGTTACAATAAGAAAAGAAACATCTTCATCCAATAGCAACTTTAGTTTTAAAATGCCAGACATCTTCAACCAATAGCAACTTTAGTTTTAAAATATCTGACATCTTCAACCAATAGCAACTTTAGTTTTAAAATGCCAGACATCTTCAACCAATAGCAACTTTAGTTTTAAAATGCCAGACATCTTCAACCAATAGCAACTTTAGTTTTAAAATGCTCTGCAGACATCTTCAACCAATAGCAACTTTAGTTTTAAAATGCCAGACATCTTCAACCTATAGCAACTTTAGTTTTAAAATGCCAGATATCTTCAACCAATAGCAACTTTAGTTTTAAAATGCCTTACAAGTCTAATTCATCCAGAAGCAAAAAATGTGTTTATCAATAAAAGTAATAAAACCACACAAAAGCCTGGAAACTGGTCAGTTCGATACAACAAGAGAAACTCCTTTATTTGGAGAATGTCATGTTAAATTATTCTTTGTTTTCTAAGATTTAACGTTTTAAATATGTACAGAGTCTCCCTCCGCTCAGCGGTAAGTCTGAAGGTTTGATACTCGCGGTGAGCAGATCACAGATAGCTAATTTGTAGGTTTGTGCTTAAGAGCAAATCAAACATTTGTTCAACTGAACTTCTGTGAAATATATAATTAAAATTACTTCAGAACAACGTCGTAAACTTTTATACTTGTCCTTTGTTCATCGAAAGATCAAAATGTATCTTCGGACGAAGGGCTTTCGGTACTTTTGAATGAAAATGAACTTTTTAAAAACTTACTAAAGTATTTCTGAAACGTCACATAGACTGTTAGAAATATTAATTGGTAGATTTTGACTCTGTATCATGATTTTCCCCAGTTTTGGGTAAATTAATGTTAGAATTACATAATATATGTATATCTGAGCACGAGCCCCACACAGGAATTGTACGATGACATATGAAAGCAATTTTGAGGAGATTTATATTTTGTATACATACCAGTAATTAAAATGCACCCTCTCTGTGGTGGCTCAGTGATAAGCTTGGGAGCTTATAGCGCTAAAGTTCGGAGTTTTATCCCCACGGTGTACTCAACATAAATAGCCAGTTGTGCAGCTTTCTTGTTGTTGTTGTTTGTAATTAAGCATAAAGCTACACAATGGGCTATCTGTGCTCTGCCCACCACGTGTATAGAAACCCGGATTCTAGCGTTGTAAGTGTGCAGACATACCGCTGTGCCACTGGGGGGCGTCTTTCTTGTTAGAAATAAACAAAGCAGTTTTAAACATAATTAGAATAGAGGAATAATATTAGGGTTCTTTGTCTTAAACCTAGTTAAAATACAGGAATAATATTAGGGTTCTTTGTCTTAAACCTAGTTAAAATACAGGAATAATATTAGGGTTCTTTGTCTTAAACCTATTAAAATACAGGAATAATATTAAGGTTCTTTGTCTTAAACCTAATTAAAATACGGCAGAATATTAAGGTTCTTTGTCTTAAACCTAATTAAAATACAGGCACAAAATTGGGGTTCTTTGTCTTAAACCTAATTAAAATACAGGCACAATGTTAGGGTTCTTTGTCTTAAACCTAATTAAAATACAAACACAATATTAGGGCTCTTTGTCTTAAACCTAATTAAAATACAGGTACAATGTTAGGGTTCTTTATCCTAAACCTAATTAAAATACAAACACAATATTAGGGTTCTTTATATTAAACATAATTAAAATACAGACACAATATTAGGGTTCTTTGTCTTTAACCTAATTAAAATGCAGGTACAATGTTAGGGTTCTTTGTCTTAAACCTAATTAAAATACAGGAATAATATTAGGGTTCTTTGTCTTAAACCTAATTAAAATACAGGCACAATATTAGGGTTCTTTGTCTTAAACCTAATTAAAATACAGGCACAATATTAGGGTTCTTTGTCTTAAGAATATCTGTAACTCTCATGTTTTCATGAATTAAGTTCTTCATCATATGATCAGAAATATTTGTTTGTAGTACTTGATCCTTATCATGTGATCAGAAACCTTTGTCTGCATTACTTGATCTTGACCAACTGATCAGAAACCTTCGGATTACTTGATCTTGACCAATTGACCAGAAACCTTTGTCTACATTACTTGATCTTGATAAACTTATCAGAAACCTTTGTCTGCATTACTAGATCTTGACTAATTGATCAGAAACCTTCGGATTACTTGATCTTGACCAATTGACCAGAAACCTTTGTCTACATTACTTGATCTTGATAAACTTATCAGAAACCTTTGTCTGCATTACTAGATCTTGACTAATTGATCAGAAACCTTCGGATTACTTGATCTTGACCAATTGATCAGAAACCTTTGTCTGCATTACTAGATCTTGACTAATTGATCAGAAACCTTCGGATTACTTGATCTTGACCAATTGATCA